TCCCTCCCTCCCTCCCTCCCATACTATGTCATTCGTTCATCCTTTTTCGTTGTGTTTCAGTTTGGCCTGTCGTTGTCGTGCAGCGGCTATTAAAGCGGGAAACTCGTGGTTTGCTCTGGAGAACTATGGCGTTTGTTTCTCGGCTAAAGGACCTTTGTCAGATTATTTAAAAGAGTAAGTAATCGGAAAAAAACACCATTTCTTTTCGTACCAAAACGCTCCTAATAAGCACACGTTTTTTTGATCAAGGAGTAAATGGGATTCTGTAGCTTGTTTCTTTTGTTTTAGCTATCCACTTGATCCTGAAGATCATTGTGTCGGGGTCATCAAACATAACAAAACTATTGTGAGCCAGGAAGATGGAGAAATCTGCGTGGGTGGATATTTCAGAGCCTATATGTACGAGGTGAGAAAGAACAACTAAAAACAGAATTTATCTTGGCTCCAGTAAATGGTATTGAGTGCGTGCTCTACCTCCAATAGTCCCCATTCACAGTTCCCTGCGCCATGTTGAAAGGTAGCCGAGCCTTTGCATCGAAGCGAGACGAACAAGGTCACCGTTCGTCTCGCTTCGATGCAAAGGCACGGCTACCTTTCAAGATGGCGCAGGGAACTGTGAAAGGGACTATTGACCTAATTCGTCTTAGTGCAATGTTTTCCCATACTAGACCACGTGTCATCCCCAAAAGTATCATTTATTTGTTGGTATTACAAGACACATGAATATGGATACATCTCAAAGAATCTTGTTCATAGAGAATTACACGTGGTCTGAAATGGGAAATCATTGCACCCTGCGAATGAGGCGTTTAATGGCGTTTAATGGTTGCGCATGAGAAGACACATGAATATGTTTACAGCTCAAACAAAGAATCTTATTCTCAAGAGAATGACTTGTGGCGTCTGAAATGGGAAAACATAGACAAATATGGGCTATCTTTAGGGCATCTATTTAGGCTGGGGCTAAGCTGTGATTACACACCGTGATTACACAAGAGACAGACGAAGAAATTAGATTGTAAATGCTTTTTTAAAAATGTCTTGTACAGATTTCTAACATTGGTGCTTCAGCACCAGCAGCTGCTCCAGAGGAAGAGGTCGAAGAAGTTGAAGTAGCCCGTGAGTATCATGTATACATGCTCGTAATAGTAATAGTAATAGTAATAGCAATAGTAACAGCAACAGCAACAGCAACAGCAACAGCAACAGCAACAGCAACAGCAACAGCAACA